AGGAATGGTCCTTTTCAGCTGTGGAACTGAATGCTCTCCCAACACACTCACTTAACAACGACAAGAGAGGTTTGATACACAGAAGAGGAAATGCTTCCATTTGACGGTGTGTGTGTGTATGTGTGTGTGTGTGTGTGCATAAGTGAACGGCTCATCAAAGAGTTTCCTTGTAGTGTTTTATCCATGTCGTCTCCCCTAAGTCAGCTGATTTCTGAGCATGATCGATCCTCAAGAGGGAAGGAAAGTAGACTTTTGGCTGAGGGGTAGAAGAAGCCCTCCTGGCTCGGCAGGGATGGGGAAGCCTTGGGTCTGGTGGGACACCCATGACGACAAGGACCCTGCTTCCTCTCCTATGGCCACCACAGTTACCCCAGGTGAAGGCAAGATTGAAGAAGCAGCAAGGTCTTTAGAGGCCCCTTGCTTGACAGAGAGAGAGGGCCCAGGAGGCTAAAGGCCACGTCCAAGGCCACGTGGCTGGGACAGATCTGTAGCCACGCCCTGTGTTGCTCTTTTTTCCCCGGGGGGACTGTATCCCTCCTTCCGTCAGAGGACGCATGTGTAGAAGACTCCGGTCCGCAGCAGCCTCTGTGGCGCACTGGCCAGACTTCCCAAGGTAGACGTTTCATACTTGTTTTCTGTAGAGAGAGAAGCATCCGTCAGAATCCTCTGGCAAGTCATTTCTTGGCATTATAATTACTTGCTAACAATACCACTTTCTGAGATACCTACTGCATGTTGAGGTCGATGATACAGAAAAACACAAAAGGCTGCTTCTCCCCACCCTACGGGAGGGGACAGCTGTGCCGCAAGCCGGGCCGGCAACTCGCTGCGAAACCTCTTCTCTTAGTCGGCTTGGCTGCCTCTTGCCATCTGGAGAAGAAGGAAATAAAACGCAACAGGTTTTGAAAAACGCTTCCTGGTCGGGTGCCCGACACGCTAGACCACATGGCCTCTATGGAGACCGTGGACAGTGGGCAGGGTACTGCCGACGGCGAGGGCAACACCGGCGACCTCAGGCCGTCAGGTGTGCACCTGGCTTGCCGCTACCCAGGAGCCGGGTCAGTGACTCGGGAGAAATCCTGTGTACGCTGTGGAGGGTCCAGCGCCGGATGGCACCACCCGCCATCGGCAGGGACAGACTCCGTGTACGCTGGCTGCCGACTCAGTCTGAAAGGCTGGGCTCTGTGACAGCTAAGGAAGGCTGTTTCTAAGCGAAGGTGTCTCTGATTTCCAGAACTCCTGGTTCGATGGTCATTTCATGTTAACTGAGATCCTCCATTAGAAGCCGTGATTCTAGAAGTTACATCTGTGGGGTTTTTTTTTGTTAGTGTTGGATTTTTAGAAGGCAAACACACTCACCTGCCAGAGCCTCTGGTCCCTTTTCTGTTCTGACTCATCACACTTATACTGACTGATAACCTTACAGTGTGGCTCACCTAACTATGCCGTTATGTGTTAAACTCCTGGCAGCCCTGTACCCACGGAATGCCTGTGATGGGACTCAGGCGTAGAGACAAGGGAGAAGAGCATTGGGCTGAGGGCTGAAGTCAGACGTCGCGGCCAGCCTTTCACGGGGAGAGGGCATCCCGACACGGGCTCCCGAGTGCGCGCTCTGATCTCTCCTTCAAGCGCAGGTTTGCCTGCAGGGGGCCAAGTGTGCCCATGGCCCCCGCGACCCCTCTGAATCCTCCACTTTTCTGTGCGGACACTAAAATTAGAATCGTGGGTTTGGGGTGGAGAGAGTGAAGAGCCACATCATGAGAATAAAAGAAAGAAGAGAAAGTGGGAGCAGCAGGCTCTGGGGGTGGGGGGAGGGCGAGAATAGCAGAATGGGATGGGAAAAGAGAATCAGTAAGAGAACGGCACTCAAACACGTCAGGAGGGTAGGGTGCAGGGCCTGGCAAATAGACGTGGCTTAGAAACAACCGTTAGTGAGGAATCCATGACTGAAGGCGCGAGTCATCCTACCCAGTCGCATTGTACACATGGGAAAAGTCAGGTATAACTCCCTTGCCCACGTTGCTATTGCTAGTTGGTGTCCGTGCAGGACTGAGAGCTGAGCAGAGGGAGGAGGGCACGTTTCCTGACCCATCGCAGTGTGGATGGGATTTGTCCCCAGAAGGAGAACAGGACAGGCCCCGGCTGAGAGCCTGCATCTGCTCTGGCTCTGCCTTGGAGAGGCCAGGCCTGGTGACTGGAGCAGCAGAGGGCACGCCTCACTGCAAAGGGCCCACGCTCT